CACCTTGGACTCTGGCGCTTCTCGGTGTTTCTTCCGCGACTCTACCACCCTGACGCCGCTTCCTGTCCCAGCTGCCGTCTCTCTTGCTGACCCCTCCGGCGGTCCGGTCGTCGCCCGCAGTTCCACCACCCTTCCCTATCCGGCGGTTCCCTCGGGCTCTCTCACAGGTCTGCATATCCCCTCGTTCTCCAGGAACCTAGTTGGTGTCGGCTGCCTCCAGGACCTTGGCGTCACCACTACGTTCCCTGGTCACGAGCGGTATGCTGTCTGTACCGAGGCCGCCACTGGTGCCCCCCTGTCCACGTTCCCCCGGGACCCGGTGTCCGGCCTGTTCACTCTGGACACTGTGACCCCCCCGGCTGGGGCGCCTCCTCAGGTGGCTGCGTCTACCCAGGTTGCTGCTGCCTGCTCCTGTCGCTCCCTCACTCACCCGACCCTCCTGTGGCACCACCGCCTAGGTCACCCTGCGCTCCCGCGTCTGCGTCACATGTCTCAGCACGGTCTCGTCCTTGGTCTCCCAGGTTCGCTCCCCGCGTTTCCCTCCTCTCCAGCCCCACCTTGCACGCCTTGTGTCGAGGGTCGGCTTCGCCGTGCCCCGCACTCCTCCTCGTTTCCCCCTACCGCTGCGCCGCTGCAGACCATGCACCTGGACGTCTGGGGCCCCGCCCCCGTCCCTGGGCCGCGTCGAGAGCGCTACTTCCTTGTGCTTGTCGACGACTTCACTCGTTACACCACAGTCTTTCCCCTGGAGCGCAAGGCCGACGTGCCTGGCGCTCTCATCCCCTGGCTTGTCTCTGCGCGTGTCCACCGCGGTCTCCCTGTCTTGCGTCTTCACTCCGACCGTGGTGGCGAGTTTGCCTCAGGTGTCCTTGGTCGCTTTTGTCGTGCGGAGGGCATCACCCAGACGTTCACCCTACTGGACTCCCCACAGCAGAATGGGGTCGCTGAGCGACGCATCGGTTTGGTCATGGAGGTGGCTCGCACCTCCATGATCCATGCCGGTGCACCCCATTTTCTGTGGTCGTTCGCTGTGCGCGACGCTTCTCACCAGCTTAACTTGTGGCCGCACCCTCAGCAGCCGAAGGTTTCGCCGACTCGTCTTTGGACTGGGTCTCCTTGTGACGCGTCTGCGTTCCACGTCTGGGGCTGCCGTGCTCACGTCCGTGCCTCCGGCACGGACAAGCTCACTGCCCGCACCCTTCCCTGCGTCTTCCTCGGTTTTCCCCTTGACGCGTCCGACTGGCACTTTTACCACCCGCCGTCTCACCGCTTCTTTCACTCTCGTGACGTCACCTTTGACGAGTCTGTCTCCTTCTACCGTCGCTTCCCCCACCGTGGTCCCCCGGTTACCCCCCCCTTGTTCCTGGTCACTCCTTCCTCGGTCGTCCCTGCCCCTCCTCCTCCTCCTCCCCGTCCCGCCCCCACTGGTGTGTCCCATGTCACCCCGCTTCCGTCGGTGGACCCGGTTGAGGAGTCTTCTGACTCTGGTGGCCCTCCTGTTCAGTCCTCGCCGGCCGCCCCTCCCCTAGCGTCCCCTCCCCAGTCCCCCCACCTGCCTCTGCCGCCGCTGCAGCCGTCGTTGTCGCTGCCGCCGCCGCCGCCGCCGCCGCCGCCGCCGCCGTCGCAGCACCCGTTCGCTGACTCTGGGGGTGCTCGTCCCGGTAGCCCTGGGGGTGGTCCCTCTGGGGGTGCTGGTGTGGAGAGTGCCGGTGGTAGCCGAGGAGCAGCTTGCGGTCCCGGTGTCGCCGTTGTGCCGCCGCAGCAGCAGTCCCCGCCGGTGTCAGCCCTTCGCCTGCTCGGCCTTCCGTCCCCCGACCCTGCGTCGGTTCCTCCCCGGCCGTCTCCTCCTCTTCCTGTCTACGGCCCTGTCTTCCCTCCGCCGGACTCGTCCCCGGCCCGTCTCCCCCCTCGTTCCCCTCCTGTGTCCCCTCCTCTGTCTCCTGACCCGACTCCTCCATCGCACGTCTGGTCTCACCGTCCCTCCCGCGCTCGTCCTGCCTCGCCTGTCTTGCGCTCCCACCCTATGTTGCTTAGTTCCCACGCGTCTCGTCCTCCCCTTCTGCCGTCGCCTCCTCCGTCCTCCCTTGTTGTTGCACCCCCCCCCGCTGTCTGACTACCTTCGTGCCGCTCGTCCCCTTGTTCCTCGGGTCCTTGCCTCTCTCGTTACCGACCCGTCTGTTCCGACCTCGTGCCTTGACGCTCTTGTCGCTGCTGTCGCTGACTTCGCCTCTACCCGCCGCCTTGACTACGCCTCCGCTCTGGTCTCTGACCCTGCCTGTCCTCCGTCTGTCGGGGGTGCTCCTGCCCTTGGCAGTGACGTCCTGGAGGACCGCCAGTTCGAGCTTGCTTTCCTCTCCGAGGCTGCTCCCCATCTCTGTTCCATGCTGCTAGTCCCTGAGGGTGACCCAGACGCTTTCGACATCCCGACCCCTCGCACTTACGCTGAGGCGACTTCGGGACCTTGGGCCTCGCAGTGGATAGCTGCCATGGAGCAGGAGATGGCATCTTGGAGATCCACCGGCACCTTCGTCGACGCAGTTCCCCCACCTGGGGTGAACGTGGTCGATGGCCGCTGGCTCTTCAAGGTGAAGCGCCCTCCTGGAGAGCCGCCTGTCTTCAAGGCGCGCTATGTGGCTAGAGGCTTCAGTCAGCGTGAGGGGGTGGACTTCTTCCAGACCTTCGCTCCGACCCCGAAGATGACTACTCTTCGGGTTCTGTTACACCTAGCTGCTCAGCGTGACTACGAGCTCCACTCCCTCGACTTCTCCACTGCCTTCCTTCAGGGCAGCCTACACGAGCAGGTCTACCTGCGGCGCCCTCAGGGCTTCACTGGCACCTTCCCTCCTGGGACCCAGTGGCTCCTGCGGCGCCCCGTCTACGGCCTGCGCCAGGCTCCCCGTGAGTGGCACGACACTCTCCGTGCTACGCTTGCTGACCTGCAGTTCTTTCCGTCTTCCGCAGACCCTTCACTCTTCGTTCATGCTGGCCAGACTCCGTTCTACATCCTTGTTTACGTCGACGACCTGGTCTTTGCCACAGCAGACAGGGACGCACTGGCCTCCGTGAAGGCAGAGCTGCTGAAGAGACACACGTGCACTGACCTTGGAGAACTGCGCCGTTACCTTGGCTTGCAGATCTCCAGGGACAGAGCTGCGCGCACCATCATCCTGACTCAGTCACACTTGGTGCGCCAGGTCCTTCAGAGGTTCAGCCTTCAGTTCTCCTCTGCACAGCCCACCCCTCTGCCTGTAGACCACAGACTCTCCGCTCCAGTGTCTGAGGAGTTGGTAGAGCCCAGCGGCCCCTACGCAGAGCTGGTGGGTTGCCTCATGTACCTGATGACTTGCACTCGACCAGATCTCGCATACCCTCTCAGCATCCTGGCTCGCTTTGTGGCCACAGGCAGGCACCGACCGCAGCACTGGTCTGCCGCTGAGAGGGTTCTGCGTTATCTTGCTAGTACATCGGGCATGGGGTTAGTGCTAGGAGGACGCAGGCCAGTGGTCCTTACTGGACACACAGATGCTTCGTGGGCAGACGACGCTGAGACACTCAGGTCTACCCAGGGCTACTGCTTCAGCCTTGGCTCAGGTGCCGTCTCGTGGAGAGCTACCCGCTCCTCGTCTGTTGCGCAGTCCAGCTGTGAGGCTGAGATCTACGCTGGTGCCATGGCGGCACAAGAGCTCCGCTGGCTGACCTTCTTGCTCACTGACTTAGGTGAGCGGTTTAGCTCTGCCCCGGTCCTGTTCGTTGACAACAGGGCCATGATCCTCCTGTGTCAGGAGCCTCGACTCGAGGGCAGAGCAAAGCACATTCAGCTGCGGTACTTCCTCCTGCGTGAGCTACAGCAGCGACGTCAGGCTCGCGTAGTACACTTGGCCTCAGGTGCCAACACGGCTGATATCTTTACGAAGGCGCTTGCGCCTAAAGATCATCAGCGGCACTGTGTACAGCTTGGTCTAGTTCCTGTAGCCTCTCACTTGCTAGGACCTTGACTTTGTACTGTCCTTTATACGTATACTCAGACTGGACTTGTGTCCTCTCCCAGTGGCTGGACTAGTAGTGCCGCCCTGCTCTTGTTCTTGCCTTGTTTGTACTCCTTCTGACTGGTCTCTCAGACCCTTGTCTCAGAGGTTGGACTAGTAGTGCCGCCTTGAGCTGCTTGTTTAGGGCATTCCCCTATGCAGTCTAGGGGGTGTGTCAAACATGTGTATTTGTCATGTTTGTATAGACTGTATAGGGTCGCCTCTTAGAGAGTACAACACTGAGGTATATCTGTGTGTACTCTCACTTTATCACTTTTTTCACTTCTCAATTCTGATAGACATAACCTATATATATTCTTGTCAGCAGCTGCAGCTCTTGCATAGCTGGAGCCATCGATACTCATTCCACTAAAAGCCGCTGATATTGATGCTGCTGCTTGTTGCTGTTGTATTGCAGGTGCAGAGGACAAAGTCCCCGGTGGATGCACAGTAGGCAAACCTTGCTGTTGTTGTGGCATCCCAATAGAAGAATAAGCAGGTGGAAAGTTTCCAGCTGCAGAAGTACATGTTTGACCAGTAATGACTGTAGGATTTGTAACACCTGTAGGTCCAGTTCTTGAAACAGCAGACGTTGTTGATGTTGATGGTCCTGTCATAATTGACGGTAGTCTTAATTCCAGACAGCTCTCATACCATGAAAGAATTCGAAAGGTGGTGCAGGAGACTAAGTATAGAATCTGGAAACATAAGTATATGCAAACACAAGTATAGACTCGGGATATGCCACATTTGATAATGCGACTAGGACGGACATGGTAAAAAGCGCTGGAAACCCTTTTATAGCCGAGTACGCCGTTCCCTTACATTACCAAACTCTACACCGAGAACCTATGATTGTGTCACACGGAACTTATAACGCCAAGCCCTCGAGTACACTTGGGTTAGGGAGATTCTGCATCACGCCTCCACACTTGTTCCTGCCAAGCAAGACCCTGCTCCATCTCCTCACTGCTGCTCTGTACTTGTAGCATCAGCTGCCAGCATCACCCCACTAGCAGCATCCACCATGGACACCAGCATCCGCCTCCCGCCGCTCGCCAACCTCCTCCGCCTCATCGACCGCACCTACTCCCCCCCCTGCATCGACCTGCGCGGGATCTCCGCCGACTCCCTCTCCGCGCGGGTGGCGGGCTTCCCCGTCGCGCTCATCACCGGCCGCGAGCCGCTCGAGAGCGCCGTGCCCAAGGTGCAGAAGCTCGCGGAGGTCTGCCGCGGATTGGCGGAGGCGGAAGCGATCGGCGTAGGGGGGAGCGGCGGAATCGAGCGGAAGCTGCAAGTAGTGGTGCTGGTGCAGTCCGACGTGGAGGAGAAGGAGGTGCAGCAGTCGCTCTTAAAGCTCGCGGCTAAGGAGAGCCTCCCCAACGGCCCCACGGGCCCCGCGATCGCGTCGCAGCCGCCGTGGATCGCGGTGCCGTGCGTGCCGTCCGACGTCGAGTCGCTCGAAGGTGCTCTTAGCGAGGCCGCGGAGACGCTGTCCGTCGCGCTCGATATAGTCACGTCGTCGGCGGACGGGCTCGCGTTGTTTGACGAGACGGGCCGCCCGTTATTGAGGCGCGGCGCGGAGGTTCTAGAGGCGTACGGCAGCGACGCGTGGCCGTTTACTGCGGCGCGGATCGCGGAGCTGGAGGCGGCGAAAGCCGATCGTGACGCCAAGGAGCAGCAACTCGGCGCGCTCCTCGCGACGGAAGAACGCGATTGGCTCCTGCGAGGCGGCGGAGGCGGAAACGCTTCCTCTGCCGTTGATCTCGGCGGAGCCGAGTCAGGGGAGCCGTTGGATTCCGCGTTTCTTAAGGAAAGAATCACGGGTAGTCTAGCGGCGAAGCGGGTAGTAGGGCTTTATTTCGGCGCGGCTTGGTGCCCTCCGTGCGAGCCGCTGCTGCAGCGCCTTACCTCCGCGTATCACGGGATTATAGAGAAGCATGGAAAGGATGCTCTGGAGGTCGTCTATGTCTCATGTGACACTAACGAGCGGGAGTTCTCGGAGTCTATGAGGGGGATGCCGTGGCTGGCGGTTCCGTTCGCGGATAAGACGGCGAGGGATGCGCTGGTGGAGAGATTTTCGTCCAAAGCCATCCCCTCTATTGTGTTCCTCGATAACTCGGCTGCGGCAGCAGCAGCGGCAGCAGCAGAGGGCGCGTCGGATGAGGTGGTGTGGGGTCATCTGACGCCGACCATCACGAGGGAGGGCAGAGAGGCGATCATGGAGGTGGGCGCGGACGGGTTCCCGTTCGCCGCCGAGCACGTGGAGAGGGCACGGGCTGCCAAGAAGGCACGGGAAGGGCCGTGCTAGCAGCAGCAGCGGCGGAGGGTGCAGCTGCGGGTTCTGGGTTCCCTGGAGCGAGGCCCACTATCACGAGGGAGTGCAGGGAGGTGCTCCTGCAGGTGGGGGCGGTTTGGTTCCCATTCACTGCTGAGCATGTGGAGAGGGCACGAGCAGCAAAGGAGGCAGGGGAAGGGCCGTGCTAGCAGCAGCAGCAGCAGCAGCAGCATAGGGTGCAGCAAGTACTAGGGTCAGGGTTTTGGGTTCCTGGCATGGCTCATGCGAGGCGCAGTATTGCAAGGAACGGCAGGGAGGTGATTATGGAGGTGGGTGCGGATGGGTTTCCGTCCACTGCTGAGCATGTGGAGAAGGCATGGGCTGCCAGGAGTGGCGGTCCAGGGGGAGGGAGAGAGTCGCAGTGATGCGCAGGTGGTGACGCTGCTGGCAATGAGGGTCCTGCCCATGGGTGCGGATGGGTTTCCGTTCCCTGCTGCGCGTGTGGAGAAGGCACGGGCTGGAAGGAAGGCAGGGGAAGGGTAGTGCTAGCTGTGGCGGCGTAGGGTGCAGCAACAGCAACAGCAGCAGAGGGTGCAGGAGTCGAGGTAATACGGGCTCGTCGACCCTTCCCCCCCCCTTTTCCTCTCCCTCCCCCTTTCTGTTGTGAGGAAGGGCAGGGAGGTGATCATGGAAGTGGGTGGGGATGGTATCTGTTATGATCGTGGAAGGCACGCGCAGAAGGCTGGGGAGGGGGAATGCCAGCAATGGCAGTGATTGTGGTGTTGAAATTGGAGGTGGTGCAATTGGAGGTGGTGCGGTTGGGAGTGGTGCAGTTGGGAGTGGTGCAGTTGGGAGTGGCTATCACGGAAGTGGGTGCGGATGTAACTTATTCCTGCAGACGTGGAGACAGCACAAGCTGGCGGGAAAGCAGGGGAACTGCAATGCTGGCAATGACAGTGGTGGGTGTTGGTGATGGGCTGATGGTAATTGTCCTATCCTATCACTGGTGGTGCTTATGGGATGGTAATACTAGCAAAGGTGCGTATGGTGGTGATGATGCTATCAGACGTGGTGATTGCAGTGGTGGTTGCGGATGCGTTCTCCCATTCATGCCTGCACATGCGGAGAAGCCACGAGCTGCTAGGCAGGCAGGTCGAGGGAAGGCAGTGAGGTGCAGTGTCACAAGGGTGGTGGTGGTGCTTGTAATAATTCGACAGGTTGCAGGAAACTGTGTAGAATCTGCAAACACAAACACTTGGAAAACCTGAAGTGTTAGCCTAGGATCTTTACTGGAATGGTAGACTAGTAAGACAGCGGAAGTCTTGTAAAAGTGAATCTGAGTATAACTCTTGTGAAAGTCAAGGTTGGACAACCTGAGCTCATGAACTTGTGGGTAAAAGTTAATAATGGAAAAGCATAACAAGGATTTATAGCTCTAGGAAAGTACTTGTTCGCTAATGTACCTGTTCGTCACTATCGCGCTATGCGCCCTAAATGATAATGAAGAGATACGACTGTTCGCGTGACTGAAACAACTGTCCTCATGACGAGCACTATTTGCTTACGTCATCCTACGGACTTGTATTCTACCGTAAGAATGGACACTATCTACTGATAAACAATTTACAGAAATGCTAAGTATGAATTATATTACAACACTCCCCTTCATTTCTGGAAGTTCGATAGTGTCACTTCTTGAAGATCCCGAAAAGCTTGTTACAGTACTGAAACTTATGTCGTGTCAGCTTCTTCGTGAGGCAGTCGGCAGCCATCTCGTTGGTCGAACAATAGACGAATCGCATCCTCCCCTTCTCGACTTCATCTTTGACGAAAAAGTAACGCAGTGAAGTATGTTTCGTTCTGTTGACGAAACCAGGCTGGTGTGCGATGCGAATTGCACTTTGGTTGTCGCACTGCAAAGTAAACTGAGTACTTGTTGTCAATTTTGCTTCTTCCAATAGTTCCTATAGGTTATCGCGTGTTGCTGTACAGACAACGATAAATTCAGCTTCAGCAGAGGAGAGAGCAATCAGCTCCTGCTTCGTCAAATTCCAAGAAATAGGCCCGATAGGTTCAAGGCGGTAGATGAATCCTGCACGCGACCGTCGATTAGTAGAGTCAGCAGCGTGAACGGCGTCGACGAAACCGTGTACGTATAGTGTTTTACAGTCGACGACGTTGTAGACTAAATCGACGTCAGGAGTCGAGATGAAATACTGAAGCGCGCGGAGAAGATCGAGTTGGTGCTCCTCTTCAGGACGGTGTAGGAATTGAGCGAGTTCACTAGCAGCGTAGGCTAGATCTGGACGGCAAATAACAGCAGCGAAGAGTAAACAGCCTAACCACTGTTGATAAAGTTGTAAATCGGGTAGACTCAACGGTGTAGTATTCGGTTTATGATCTGTCGGTAGGGAACGATACGGTGTAGAGACTGCAGTAGGAGTAAGACTGTGCCGTCAGGTAAAAGAAGACTGTTGTTATCAAGAACTGCTACTCGGAGTGAATGATTTAAAATCCCTTGCGACGGATGTCCTAACTTCTGATGCCAAATTTCCTCTATGGCTTTGTGTCCTGATGATCGCAGATAAAAATCGGCGTTAGTATAAAACGAAGAAATGATAAAAGGAGAAAGAGCTGGATATACAGTATGTCAATCTCCCCTTCGACGAAACGGGTAAGTGGTAACTGGACATTTGTTGGTTCTGCTGTAGTTGCAATTGCAACATCTGATACTGCTTCGGTTGATGTGGTGGCAGGCGGTCCTGCGACAGCTACTGTGGGACTCAGCTGCTCGGCTACTTCTTCTTTTGCGACTTCCTCAAAGTCGGGTTCATCAATTGCAAGTCCACTGATTTCGGCCCAAAGTGGAGCTGGAGTTCCTTTTGAAGGCCGCGCGGGTATTATAAAACGTTCGCCACGCGTTGGCGCCTTCATCGGCGGTATTAAACTCCCAAGTATCCAGTGCGGTAAGAACGGCTGCTACAGTTCGAGAAACTGTTGGTACAGTAATTGCCCAAAAATCAATATCCACGTGTTGATAATCTGTTTCTTCTGGGTGATCCCAGGGACCAAGTGCAAGGACGCGTTCAGAATCACCAGAGGTACCCTGTGCCGTGAACTGAAGAACTGATACTCCATGTTGAGTAGCAGCACGACCGAGGTAAGTATTCGTTAAGCTGTGCCATAACTCCTGATCCATTGTATCACAGTTCCCTTGTGTGTGAATCTTGTGTGCCAGGAGTTGAGCTGTGGAGAGAAGATTGAAGCCAAGTTCGGCAACGATAAGAACGTTGGTAACGTGTAATGAATACCCCGTGTCAACTTATTTGAGCATTACACTCTGTTTGCGACTGTCACAGGTATCGGTCGACGAAGTGGACGCTGGTTGGTGATGAAGCTTGTTTCAGCGGAGCACATGTGCCAACCGCAACAGCTGTCGAGATACCAAGTATTGGGTCCTGAAATGACTCGAGCAAGGTAAGCGTAAAATTGTGGTAAGGGAATGCCTTCAGCACTTGTGGTTTCTTCAAGTCGTGTCTCGGAATCGGTTTCTGAAACATCAACTGTTGTAACACATTTGAAAACCCATTTTCCTGATGTTGCAGATGCAAAGACCGGAGGTCGATGCTGTGGTGACGATGTATTCTGCGGTGGTTTCGGCATCTGCTGCGCCTGAGACGTCGACTGCTGCGTTGGCTGATGTGGCTTCGGCAACTGCTGCGAACGATGATACGGTTGTGAAGTGCTGCGACGGTTTTGATAGCGATTGCGACTAGTTTGGTAAGTATGTCCTAGTTTCTTGCAGAAAGGACAGAAGGGATATTCAGGGGAAGTTGTTGCTGCGGTTTTGGATTTGAGTAAAAACTTAAGTGGACCCCCTTCTTCTTTTTGCGTTGTAATTGCAGGTCAAGATCTTGCTGTTGTGCTTGAAGATACAAAGAAATTTCAGCTTCAGAGAGGTTCGGGTTCATGCGAAGGAAGGCGCGCGTCTGTCGCCATTTGGGTCCAAGGCCAGCAAGAAGGACCATGAGATACATCTCACGAGGGAAGTATCCTCCAATCTTTTCCAGTTGATCGCGTAGTGGACGGACGCGATTGACGTAATCCATGACATTTTCGTTTGTCATCATCTGCACATTTGTCAGCTGCGAAAGAAGCTTACTCACTGTTATTGTATCTTTTGCCATGTACACCCCCTTTAAGTGGTCTCTTGTTCTTCGAGCTTGACACCATTGCAGGGTCCCTTCCGTCTAGGGTTGAGCAAACTACCCGCCCGGGTCGGGTACCCGGTACCCGGACCCGCTTTTAGGGCGGGTCGGGTATCGGAAATCCTGAAAATTACCCGGCGGGTCGGGTCCGGGTTACCCGGGCCGGGTATCAATACCCGCTACCCGAAATGCTACCCGACGTGTCGGGTAACGGGTACCCAACCGGGTCGGGTAAAATATACCCGAGGTCGGGTATTCCACCTAGACATGGGCGTAAGTCGCGCTGTGTTTTAGGTTTTGGAGGTGAGGGGGGACGAGTGGAGCATTTGTGAGGAGAAGTTGGAGCTTGTAGATGGGGAGGAGTTAAGTGCGGTGAAAGGGAGGGAGTTGGGTGGGAGTTGGAGAAGAGGTTGGAGTTTGTAGATGGGTAGGAGTTCAGTGCGGTGAAAGGGAGGGAGTTTTGTTGGAAATGTTGGAGTTTATAGACAGGGAGGAGTTCAGTGCGGTGAAAGGGAGGGAGTTTGGTTGGAAATTGGAGTTTGTAGACGGGGAGGAGTTCAGTGCGGTGAAAGGGAGGGAGTTGGGTGGGAGTTGGAGAAGAGGTTGGAGTTTGTAGATGGGTAGGAGTTCAGTGCAGTGAAAGGGAGGGAGTTTTGTTGGAAATGTTGGAGTTTGTAGACAGAGAGGAGTTCAGTGCGGTGAAAGGGAGGGAGTTTGGTTGGAAATTGGAGTTTGTAGACGGGGAGGAGTTCAGTGCGGTGAAAGGGAGGGAGTTGCGTGGTCTCATTTGAGAGTCGCGTTTTCAGGAACCCTACCTAGCCTAGCCCAACTTTAGGATGTCTACAAGTAGGTGGCGGGTAGTATTACTCGTTTTTCAGGGTAACCGGGTCGGATAAACCCGGACCCGCCAGGCGGGTATTGTATTACCCGCCCCCTAAGGTCGGGTCCGGGTAAGGGTCCTGGGCTTATTACCCGACCTGGACCCGACCCGAAATTACCCGACCCGAGGTCGGGTATTGCAAAACCGGGTCGGGTCGGGTAATTACCCGGTTTTGCTCAAGCCTACTTCCGTTGCCCACGCTTGATCCTTCACCATTCGGCGTTTCTCCTTCGCGTAGAATACCGCGCGACTCTCACACTCCGCCTTCTGCCAAACCTTCCACGTTCACATTGTCTCAGGAGACATCCACTGCACGCGCCCGCGGATGATCCATCTCCCATTGAGCTCGTAACCCCATCAGCATGAAGTTGAGCTCCTTCTCTGGGAGATCTTCATAGCGGGCTATCAAGGCTGCCTCCTGCGCCTCGAGATCGTCGACCACCTCTCGGACGTCCGACTCGCCGTCCGTCATATTGACAATCGAGACTTCTGCGAGACCTAACGTAGTAGATTTGACCTCTATCGTTCGCGTATTCGATCCACGCTCACCACACCATGCAGAGTTTTCTGCTATAACAGGAGCTTCTGCGGAGGTGTCTGACGCAGATACAGCTCTCTAGCTCTGTGGTTCTCTAAGGAGAGAGTTGCCTTCAAAATTGTGTGTTTCACTGAGTAGCTTGAGAAAGCTTGGGCACACAAATTCACTAGAATCAAGATTACAAAGTATGGTACACAAGGCAAACACTAGTACAACCCCATTGAACCTCATTGAACACGGAGAGAACATTCGCACGAGAACGTTTACATAACTACTCTATGCTGCGCTTAGCCAAGTCAGCAATGGCATGTGAAAATTACAGCACATGCTTAGTTGGTAATTTTTACCCACTTAGAAGTAGTTGTTTTAACAGCTTCAGATATGAAACTGTCAGATGTTACGCACGTTACCGCAATTACGAAATGTGCGTCACGTGTTCAATTTCTCAATGTCGCAAGTAGATTTTGCCGTTTTCGGTCCAGATCGGTTCTGTGGTTAACTTACGAAATCACAAATTTCTCGCGATTTCGGAACGGTACCTTCCGCAGAAAACGAAGTCCCTGATTTTCTGTCGAAGGGGTCGCTCGCAGAAGCGAAGTCCGAGATGACTCTCTGCCGTGCTTCTGCCGAATTTCGTCTCTGCCGAGGGGGTCGACAACAGAAGAGATAGCCGAATTGCCTTTCTGCTAAACTTCGACAGAACGCAATTCTGCGCTAGCAGGTCCTTGTGCCACTCTGCCCGAGGTCCTG